TCGAGACAAATCTCACGACACTTCACCAGGGGAGGAGATCGTTCAAAATATCGTCAAGAAGACATCACCTCTCTAAGTAGTGTAGGTAGATACACGTAAAATAGATGACCTTGAGCAATGCACAACCACGATTTTTCTGGTTGAAGGTAACACAAGAGCGTATCAATTGAGACACCACAAACACATTTTTAATCAAGCATTTCCTTGCCAACGTCCAGTTTTTATACAACCGGGACTAAAATGCAGCAGGCAAAAGTCATTTTGACTCTACGAATCGCCCAGATAGACAAACGGTGAATAGTTATAATAATTGAAACAAATGTGAACAACTTATATAGACAAAGCATATTGCAAGTTCCAAGTATTGAATTCACGACTATTATTTTGCATGTATGTAACTGCAGACCCATATGCACAGAGCAAATCCATATGTGATTAAATTGGATTCTCAACATTGAGAGTTATACCTATGTACCTATCAATATTTACGTATTGGCATATTACACTGACAGATCGTTATTCACAACTCATTTGGCCAGCCAACTAGTTGTAATTTAATTGTAATCAATACATACTTACCTGTTTTAATTATCCAGAGTTCATTTTATAACTTTGCCTAATTTTAACAGATAATATAGGTACGCAATTAATTAGTACTTTGAGGGTGCACTTTAGCAGAATCGCGTATTTTTTCAAAAAGAGCGCGTGTTATGGGTACCGCCAGTAGAGAAAATATAGAGGAAAGCATTTAAACTACAAAATCTAATAATTGAAGACTTGCATATAGAGGGCGTTCCATTGGGAGAGGCAAGATATTTTAACTATGAATAGATGCCGCAGGTGGAGGTAATAAAAAACTTATAGTTAACGGGTCTTTATTGTCTTATAACTGACACACAGGAGGCTTTATTGAATTTGACCACTTCTTTATGGCCTCACAGCTTCTTAAGCACCCATTATATTTTTCTGAAACTTAGTAAATATGAAAAGGTATCTTGGTATCTTGGAATGTATGTTTTAGATCCTAGAAGAGGTATCCTAATAAAGCATAATTGTGAAATGTTCACAGCATATTCACATAAGGGATATCAATTTTATCAAGTGCTGAGAATATTCCTTTTTAGAACACTCCGATACAAAATCTTGTCATGTGACAGTAAGATTGTACCAGGCAATAAAAAGAGATATTCCTGGCACGTGCTAAGCACACTCCATCAAAATTTATCAGGTGAACTTTTCGGCCTATCGCGTGTGTCCAATCGACTAATGGCATAATTGCAATCCGACCCCCTTCGAGACTTCTATTTTGTTTTATTCCATCTCTGTGCATATCTAACATAGCGTACATCGTGTGTGTCTCCTAATCGTAAATTATTTGAGTGTTTTTTTTTTTGAAAAATATAACTATTACGTAGCGGTAGAAGACTAGATCGCCGACATCCCGCCGGTGCGAAAGGGTCCCGAGACTGTCTGCTAGGGAAGAGTCATCGGTCAGTCAGACAGCCCTCCTGTGGGCAGCATCGAGCATTAAAAAATGCAGTTGGGGCGGCAGCAGCCCAAACGTATGAGCAACTCTCGAGGCTAGGTCTTATCTCGAACTTGTAGAAGCGAGAAATTCATGCGGAGAAAAGTACTTCTTAGCCCTAAACAAATTGCCTAGCTTTTTCCTAGCAGCTATCGCTAATGACGAGATGTGCTCGTGCCATATCAAGTCCTCGGTGATCTGGACTCCGACCAGCCGAAAAGAACGGCTCTTTGGCAGAACTCAACAATACATCAAAACCGGATGAGCGCTAGCACGCTTTTTGTTCGTCAAGGTACAATACAGTATTTTGGAAGCAATAAACTGTACAATATTGTTGCGTCTCCAAGCAGTGATAACCTTTAGGCTTCTCGTCAGAGAGAAAGTCGCTGCTAGTCCTCTTTTTTCCAGCTCACCGGCAGAGATCGGATTGTCGCTCTGAATTCCTGCTTGTAGAGTGCTGTCATCAGCAAAGCTGTGGATTGGGTTGATCGTACAGGAAAGGATGTCGTTGATATGTAAGAGGAACAGTGTTGGAGCCAAGACCGAGCCCTGAGGAACATCCGCGTTAACGTTGTGGAATAAAGAGTAGAACCCGTCAGCTACGACGGATATTTTGCGGCCAGAGAGGAAGACAGCCACCCATCAGGAAAGCTTTTCTGGGAGGTCATAAGATGATCGAACGCTATCGTGATATCATGAGCAACGATATGAGCCTCACCATAAGACTGAATGAGTTTACTCCACAATTGCGTGACGGATCGCTGGTCCAGAAACCTTACTAACTGTCGCTAATCAAGCCGTAGCGTTAAAAGTAGTCCAGAAGCTCGCGATTTATATTTTTTTGAGCAAATTTTCAGATTTATGTGCAGGTCACGGATTCTTAAGATATCTGGAAGAGATGCGAAAGAAATGGAGCAAACTCCGCTGCACATCTTTTCAAAACAATGGCAGGAGCAGAAGTTTTTTAATGTTAGCGACAAGCGCACCCGTCTTACGATCTTACGCCTGAATGTTACTTCCCTTTGAATCGACGACATTCGGGCGATGGGGAGGACGTCCATGGTTGAGTTGGCAGCAAAGATCTAGGCAAGCATTTCCGCCTTAGCCTTTGAGTCGGTTACAATCGTTAGGATATTAGACGGACATCCATTGGATGTATCGGTCTGCCCAGTGTGCTCTTTGGGAAGACTTTGGCAAATCACCCGAGAATATTCTTAGAACGTGTGAAGATCTTAAAGAGCACGTTTTTAGAATACATTCTTAGAAGGTGCTACATCATGAACAGGAAAAGGAATACAGGTTCAGACTAGCTAAAATTTGACAAAATCGTTTAACCCAAAAGCAACATTTTGCTTTACTTTACGTTCACATGTTTGAAAAGAGCACAAAAACTTTATTCTAATGACCCCACTTCTGTGAAATGAGGTGACGATTTTGGAAGAGCTGGAACTGTTCATTTTGACGTAAGAAACTGGAGGCCTTATGTCCTATTAACTTTACAATTCACTGTTTAAGACTATACCTATGCGCCACATTAACGTTAGATTTGGAACGTCATCTTATTGATACTTACGTACTTTCTGGTCCGTGTGTTAAGAACTAAGAACTAAGTTTAGCAGTTGCGTATTCACTTAAATATAGAGGAAATCTTCATTGAGGAAGTCTCTCAAATTTACATATACAGGGTGGGCCAAAACAATCTGACCTATTTTAAAATTTAATCACTTTTTTATTTATTAATATTTTACAATGTATTTTTTACAAAAATAAAATATATTTATTAGAGTTTTTTTCGTATTAAGTATGAAAAATAACGTCGCGTAAGTGACGGCCACTTTCTCTTTCACACACAACATTCCTTACCAAGACATTGTCCATAACTGCCTCCAACGTTTCCCGATTTATAGCTCGAATTTCCATTAGGATATTGTTCATAAGTTGTCGTAAGGTTCGAGGTTTATTGCGGTAAGCTCTTTCTTTCAAATATCCCCATAGATAAGAATCTGGCGCGGTTAAATCAGGGGAACGATCTTTTTGAAATCAGACGTTCTCCAAAGAAGCCTCTTAACAATGCCATTGTGGCTCCAGCTGTATGAGCTGTGGCTCCATCCTGTTGGAACCACATATCAGGTCTATTTTCAAGCGCTGGAATAAACAAATTTTCAATCATAGCTCCATACCTCTCTCCAGTAACAGTCGCCGCAGTTCCATCGTCATTTTGAAAGAAATAAGGCCCAATAACCTGGGTGGTAACACCACACCAAACCGTACATTTAATGGGATGTAATTCTCTCTCGTGTACAGCCCTTGGATTTTGCCTTCCCCAAGTTCTTGCATTTTGCGTATTCACAAAACCATTCAGATGAAAATGCGCCTAATCACTCATTATTAGACGATTTAAAAAAATGTCTTCCTCTCTAACCAATTGCTGAAAACGAATGGCATAATTTAGTCGTTGTGCATAATCTTGTGATCGTAATTTTGTAAGGAAACATCCGCAAATGTTTCAAAATTCTTCTGAGGGATGCCCTGGAAAAGCCTAATTGAGTTGACCTTCTTCTGGTCGATATTTCCTCCTGAACACTTTCCTCTAATCTCTCTTTGTTTTCTCCAGTAAAAGCTAAACGTGGTCGTCCAGTTCGGGGAAGGTCCGATACAGAACCCTGGGTTTGAAAACGCCGAATAATGCTGCGGATAGCCCCAGTGGATGGGGCGTCTCGCACATTAAAAAATCTTCGATAAGCTCTCCTGGTGTTTACAATCGAATGAATATGTTCATAGTAAAACTGTACGACTTTGGTTCTCTGGATTAGATTAAGTCTCTCCATTCGAAAATAAATATGTTAACTTGGGAAAAACTTATGAATTTTTAAAATCAGTCAGGAACTTTTGGCCTACCCTGTACGTTATTACTACACAGTCCAAACATCGCATGCAGCGTAAATGGCAGCATGACTAGGTGGTATGGTATCACAATGACACAATCCATTCGATAGGTCAGCGTGGGAATGCGTACCAAATTTCGGATGCACAGTGCGTTTTATCGATTCAATTGTTCTACTCATGAGCGCACATGATTATACCATTCTTACAATCTCAAACTCGCATTATTACACCGTAGGTGGAGAATTGCACATAATTGTCTCATATAGTTTTATCACCCTGTAAGAATCGTGGGACTGAAATCAATAACCGCGGCACAGGCGCCTAAAACTGTATATGCGCAGACCAGAACTATATGCTTTCGTATTTCCCAGATATTATCTCTCATTCGTAAATTACGCAGCGCCTATGCTAACTTTAACTTCGTTCAATTATCTGTAATACTGGTAAGATAGATGCTTCATCTTATATAACCTTTATTATATCATATACATTTCTCATTGTGTGAAGAAGCTTTAGGGCAGCCCAAAACCTAGGTAAGTAGCCTATGTATAGCTCTAGCCATTTTTGACCATACTACAAATTCCCCTATTTCACAGAACGACAGAACTTAGGAGTGGCTTTTAATTTTGTTCTGCGATTTTATGTTTTCATCTGTGATCTGTCGTTCTGTGCCACTCTGTGCTTTGTTTTGATTTGACAATTTGAGGTTAGATTCGCTTTCTTTTCAAAACTATTTTAAATAGTTTGTTTAAACAGGTTTTTTTAGTGCAACAGCAACTATTTTGAGAATTGTGGTTGACAAATTTGTAAAGGTTATAATAATTGTTAACTGTTACAAGAAACAGGAAAATGGCAACAAATATTTGTATGGATATGAACAAGAACATCAAAGAGCTTATAGCAAAGATTTCTGGTTATGAAGTAAGTATGCAAACATTTTATTTTAGTTATCAACATTCAGAACCTAATTTTTAGGAGGGAACTGAACCATTCAACCAAATCTACAAATATTTTGTAACCCAGATTAATAAACATAACACTATGTACTTTTTGAATAAAAAGGAGGTGGATCAAAACATATCAGGAATGGCAGACAAATTCAATTTCCATGGATTTCCAGCTCAAGCTGAAGCATTACTCGAAACATACAACAATTATACAGCAACAAGTTTATCAACACCAGAGTTAATGAATAGACTAAATGTGGTCAAATTTCTGTTGTGCATGTCTGAAAGGCCCACACAGAAGTTTTTGGAGAATCCAGAAAGATATGTTATACATAGAGAAGAAAAAAGGGCTGAAATAAATTGGGCACAGTATTTGAGAGAGGGTATTGAAGACTGGGCTCCTGCATATGAAAGCAGTGTGAGTAAACATTAATTTAATAACCTTATTTTTCAACTGTGGTATACAAAAGAACTATCTAATTCCATAAAAGTTGAATGAAATTGAGGTGAAATCACTGAATTTGAGGAATAAGAAAGTATTTCACATAAAATGAAACCATGATACACTGTAAAGATCAGTTTCCTATGATTTCTGGTAAGATGGATCATATTTGCAAATATAGAAACTCAACTAGACTTCTACTCAGTGACCAAACTTTGCCTTCCATTTACTGAGAATTAAGCCACCAAGTTCAGTCTTGCTATTTACTTTTCACATAGTTCACTCAATTTTTGAATTATTGAAAAACTTGTCTATTTAGGATTCCTCAAGTTCCTTCGAAGAAGAAGCACAAAATACAGAAGTAAAAGGAAATTCTCCACAACTGCCATTGATAATTGACCAAATTGTAGAACCAGATGTAGTAACAGATTTTAGAACATGCAGAGAGCAACTGTTAAATACAATCCAACATACGTGGTATAATGTGGGATATTATTTTGATGCTCCATATAGTGATCACAAGGAAGCAAATTTAGGTCTCTTATGGTAAGAATCTGAAATCTGTTTGTTGGATTTCTAATTTTTCATGTCATGTTAGTTAATGTAACCTTGAAGGAGAAACTGGTGAAATATACATGGTTTTTAACAAAATATTTTTTGTTAGGGAGAGATTTTTAAAAGAACAAACCATGGGACTTGTTGCCATACAGAAGTCAACAATTCTATCAGAATACAAAGTTATAAGGGAAATATTGTGGCAGCTATTTGTTCAGCATGATTCTGCTGTATTCTATTTTGAGGGAAATGAACTGAAACCCAGATATGATGTTACCATCTCAAGTATGCGCTCAGTAAGTATCCTTAATTTAGCTAAAAAATCTCTTTGCCATTTGACTCTCACAGATTAAACTGCCTGCTTTTTGTATTGGAATAAATATTTGATATTGGTTGTTTTATTTCTGCTTGCCAGTTGCAAGGCATCATTACACTGTAATAATAAAAAATAATGTTGACAATCTTGTAGAATGAAATATGAAAATTAACTAAAAAATCATAAAAATTGTGACCAATTTGAGAATACTTCATATTCCATATATATCTGACAAATTAACCATTATTAATTAAAATTCTTCCTTGAAATCCAATCTCTTATATTATAAGCAAGTGATCTTCTCATGTTTCTATATGTGACGACGTTTTCAGGCTATACTTGAGCTACAGATGGATGAATTTGAAGTCATACCGTTTTATAAACTAGAATGCCCAAATAACATGTGATCAACTTTTTAGGAGAAAAGAGCTTCAAAGGCTTCCTATCGAAAATATAATAATATAAATAAAACTAATTGACAAAATGCCTAACCTGCTACCTGAAAACTGACTGAACTGAACAACTACCTAACCTTCAGTTTGACAAAACATGACATGACACAGAACTCAAAAACTAACACACTATACCTAAACAAGACATACACAAAGTGCCTTCTATTACCAAAATTGACCACTGGCTGAAATGAAAAACATCAAGCTCATTGTTGGAACTCTATCCCAGTTCACAGCGTCAGCTGGCTCGCGCTAGATGCCACCGATTCTGTGACCTACCATACTATATAGGCTGTTGCACTAGTATTCATGTATATATTTCATCATCCTGAATTGTTAAGTTGACCTACTCAAAAATTGGTATGTAGGACCTATTTCAACAGCACTTAGTGAAAATCTATTTTTTACTTTTGTTTTATTAGTATCTCTATGATTTAAGTAAAAATAACAAATGTATGTTACACAAATTTTTGCATGAAACAGAGTGCTACAAAATTCACTTAATAAGTGCCTCTGTCATTTATATATGCCAGAAACATAAACCAACCATTTGTCAGTTGTTTGATTTTCATAATAGCAGCATTGTCTTCATATTATTGAATTTAGTTCTGCATAAACTCCAATTTCTGAGAGAGTGCGATGAAAAAATCCAATACTCACTGCAGCTACTACAGTTATTGACTAAGGTGTACCATAGGTATACTCCATACCTTAAAAAATCTCATCCTCCATTTAGAAAACATATCCGCCAACCACATCTTATTTTATTGTTATTTTTTTCAGAAATGCTTTCACTCTTTTTTGGAAAAACAATTCATGCCATACATAAGAATAATGGAAGATTTCCGACAATTCTTCAAATCCATGGGAGTTATTGTAGATGGTTATTATTCAGAATCAGCTCCAGATACATATAGAAGTTATGCTAGCTGTTTAGAGAATCTTATTGGGCCCATAAAGAAGAAATTGGTTCATCTTGAGGAGACAGTTAGAGAACAAGGTAAGAACACTTGTGAAAATTGTCTGGAGATTCAGTTTGTTCTATGCAAAAACAGTATTTTGATGTCAAGAACACATGAAAGTGGCATGCCATTTCAAAGATTTTCATGAGTAGTCATTCAAAAATGTAATTTCGTTTTTAGGCTATCAGGGTTTTTGTATAATAAGTATCAACAATTTGTATATAGATATGCCATCTCTACTTCATTTCAGAATCAACATATACTTTGATAACTCTTGCCACTGACTTGAAAGAAATATTTGAACCAATTCTTCTACTACACAAGATCCACACAGAAGTAGTCATAAACATGGACTCGCATAGCAACCTGGAATGTGCCATCATTCTCATATCTCGACTGCACAACAGTCTACAGTGCTCAGTAAATAACTTGGATCAGAATTTAAGGCTGACTTTATTTTTGGAGAGCCTCTACCACTACTTTACCATAGTGGATTCTTGGTTGATGAAGAACGAATTTGTGGATTACACTGGAGAATTTCCCATTGCATGGTAAAATCATAATATGATAATATTTCTACGAAATTTACTAAAGAAACTGATATCCTTCAAGGGTACTACTTATCTTGGAAACGAAGCATTACCGGACAAATATTAATATAATAAATTATGCAAAAGAGTCCAAATTACCTCTTAAAAGTTGGCCAAGTACTTAAATAACAGCCCCGTTAGGAGATTTATTTTGTATAGCTCTGGACTTTCAGCTTTTCAAATCAACCAGTCATACTTTTTTATTTTTCTAGTTCAAGTGATATTGATGGTGATAATCATGAAATACAAGAATCGGAGGTGAATCAAGCAGCACGCTCCAGGTAAAACTCAACTTGTATTTTTTGTTGTATGTCTTGTACATATATTGTATAATGTGAAGTGCATTAAAGCATTGATTAATACGTTAACGATTATAGTAGGTAGACCAAGCATAGGCTTAGTGTCATTTAGGACTTCACACAAAAAATTTACCATTATCTTTTCTATTGGTACCAAAACCGAATATCTTCTAAAAGTTTCTATGTTATGTAGTATTTCAGACTCATCTACCTATAGTCATAGGCTAGGTTTTGGGGTAAATGATGAACCAGTATTTTGTGAAGAGAGTGGCATTATCAAAATTATAAGGGAACATGCTCTTCAGATAGGAAGAAATTTACATTTACTCAGGATTCTAGGAAAATACTCGCTTTTAAAAGCATATGATGGTGAGTATTGGTTTCAGGTTGCTCAATTATAATTTTTTTTTGTCAATGAAGATATTTTTAGAAAATAGTTTTAACTAATGGTAATTATAAATGGCAGACAAATAGGCTAATATATGTGACAATAATTATAAATCATTCACAGCTCTTTTATTGATGCTAGAACAGTGTAGTGACTATCTGTATTTAATGTAACATCTGAAACTTATCCTGTTGTTGTCCAAATGGAACTAAGAATGTTTGATTGGAAATTTATGGCTACATTGGTGACCTTTTCACAAATGACAATGCATTTTCCCGTATTTCCAGAAACTATTCATGAAGAATTCATACGAAAATCTCTAGAAAAGCTTGGCAATTTTTTTAACATTGACATCAGTGATATTTCATCAAAATCTGAACCAAGTAAACTTCTCGATATAGATCCAAGGTACAAAAACCCAATCATACTGGATGGGCGTGATAAAGATTTTTCAGACATGGAAAAATTGGAAAACCTTGTCGATATATCGGATGGCTTTCTAATGGCCGCGTTTGAGGACTTTTTCATAGACAAACCTACTCAAGACGAACACCCGGGATTTAGTTTGTTTGAGAAGTAAGTATGCCTATCTCTTTATAAAAGTGTTAGTCGAAAAGTGACATATTTTACACATTGAAAACCATTTAATTGGTCAAAAAGAATTTTCTTTTGTTGGCTATTTAATGAGAGGAGCAATACTAGGACATGGTAAGTAGATATTTTCCGGTCGATGATTCAAAATTAGCTGCAAATCAGTCGCAAAGAAATAAAATCAACCTTTTTTTGCGTACATTTGAAAAACCTGTTCACTGCTCCGGCAGAGATATCAAAAATATGCATGTTTCCAAACTGTTTTTACTTTCAATGGATTTTTTTTACTTCCCACGCCAACCCGTCTAGCACTCTGTCGGTCTGCCTGTTAATTCTGGCTCATCTTTAACTTGGAAATTACTGCTCGGATTTGATAAATAGTCTAATCATATTAACAAACTCCCTCAAAATAATTGTAAAGCCTGTTTTTTTTGATGCAAGTTGTTCAAGGGGGTATTTAAACATGGACGCGTAAAATGGTTAGACCAATTTTTGTGGGAAAACTTTTTATTTGACAACAAAGAATGAGACCGTGTTTTTTGAGATTCAATCGAAAGTGTTGACAGGAACGAAAAAACGTTTTGTATAAGGTTTCTAGGTATTTTAGAGACGTACAAAATAACACCATACGTAAAAACATCCGTCTCGTTGCAAAAATGTTATGGCCAAAAAAGAGGCAAAATGCAGGTTTTAGCACTTGTTGGTAATGCGACGATAATTTCACACAACTATTTGAAATTCTTCAAATCCGTAGGATTTATACTTCTAAATAACAGCAACAAAATTGGAGTATACTGGTCAAGTAATTTTTTGAGAATTTCTAATTGTCTATCCCAAGACACCTGTTTTCTGGCCATCACTACTAGTTTATTGAGCAATATAAAGAGTTCGTTCAAATAGCATTTATTAGCATAATACAAATAATTTGAAGTCAATCTATTTGACACCATTTTTTGATTCCAGAGTGTCTAAAGTTACTCCAAGTTTCTTCCCAGTAATAAACTTTTTTGAAAAAATCTTCAAAGAAATCCTGGATGAAAGGTTTACAGTGTCTGGACTTGTTTTGAAGGAGCTGTTGGTAGAGAAATATTTGCTGGAGAAACAATTAGAGTTTTTACGACACGTGTACCTATTCTTTGATGATCTTATATTTCCATTTTATAAGAAGCTTTTTGAGTATGTAAGTATACGACTCAACTAGGGATCGACCGATATCGATATGTATATAGGCGTATCGGCAATATCAGCCTATTAGGCCTCATTTGATTCGGCAGATTTAACTGCCCGTATAAGCCGACCGATGTAAATTATAAGCTTATTGAAAATAAAAAATCAAAACATAATTCATAGATAAATATATATTTTAATTACATTTCAGCATTCGACTTTACCTGAATAGTTTGATAATTGCCTTTTTGGGATGCTCTGTGATAGTTAAGAAATGTTTTTTTGCATGTGGACAAATTGCTCAATCAATCAGTAGCTTTAGTGAAACAGAATTCAACTTCATGCAACCGAAACAGATCATCACATTAGTTCAATACCAATTTGCATTAGTGCACGTTTTATGTCTAAGCTCGATAGAATTTTGCAATATTTTTCTGTTTCGAACCTGGATGTTGTCACTGTATTCACCAGGTGCTGGGTCTTTTTTGTCTTGTTACATGCACTATACATTTGTACAAGCATACTTGTCAAGTAGACAGTTATTGTATAGTCTCCATGTGTAGTTGTCCGAAAAACTGATACAAATGTACTTGGTATTTGTATGTTGTGTGTGCATAGCCGTTTATAGACTTGTTTGCGGCCCATATACCCGATTGAGCGTGGAAAAAACGGAAGGCCGATAGGCAGATAACGCCAATAGAGAGTTTTTAGTGCTACAAAAATAATGTTTCGTTAAGCCTTCCGTTGCGTTATTTTTGACAGCGTCAGCAAATAACGATTTCGATTTTGCCTTGAAGCTAACCCCAAAATTTCAAAACCTGGTTTTATAGAAAGCTTTCGGTAATACTTGTGTCCAAACCGGCGGACAAGAAATAAATAGATTTAGAACCATAGAATCTCAGAAGGACCAGTGATCACAAAATCAGCAGAACTACAATAAAAGCTAACCTTGCCACTTTGCATGCAAAAATCAGAACAGATCGATTTATTTGGAACACTGCCAAATTTTTTATTTATTTATATCTGTGGCCTAAAACTCATATTTCATATCATATTTTAACCAATATGTTTTTATAATTTGTAATTTTAACCACGCTTGTCTAGCCCTACAAATTCCGGCATCTGCGCTGAATATGGAAAATATAACGATAACGGATAACGGAGGACTGCTGCTGCGCAAAATCGAAATAAGGAAGATCATAACGAAAGCAGCAAAACAAGAGCACTAAATGACTAATATATCGGCCGATTATCGGTGTCAGCGAAAAACCTATATTGGACGATCTTCTCTATACTCAACTCCAGGAATATTTATTGTTTTTTACGAGTTAACGTTTGAGCTGCAGTTGGCTGTTGCAGTTTTGTTATGTTGCATGTAAGGTCAAGTAGTGGGTGCCTAAAATTATGGTTTGTACCCGGTACTGGGCATACTCGGTCAGTCTTAATACCCGGTTTCTTCGAGAATTAAATTACCCTGAAGGGTAATTGCTCAGTCTGAACGGAAAAACACACAACTTGTGGGAATCAAAGAATTACTTGTATCTTTGATGACAAAACCTGATGCGTTTTTCCAAACCCTCCTGATATGTCCCCTGAGACATTAATGCACAATTTAAGAAATTCCAGGTTTCACCATATTCTTGCCGAATCAGTTACGTATACCCTATTTCACGAGAATCCATCGCGTTTTGATGTCTACTGAGGTGAACAGCTGATCAACACGTGAAATTTTTGTGTTGGTCTGGCGTCGTTAGCAATCATGAATTGGTTGTAAATCTAGCAAAACTTGTGTGTAGCGTTTTGTTTTTTTGTATGCCAATGAACTTTTCTAAATAAATGAGCTGTTAGCAAGTGCAAAATGAATCTGTAGTGTCCAAAAAACCAAAACAAAATACGGCTCTGACTACCTGATGTTGAAGGATCCGTCTGAATAATGTGTCCTGTGTCAATATAAGGAATTTTGAGATATTACTAGATAATCAGCTGTCATTCTACCGTGATGGATACCCGTGAAATAGGGTATAATTAGGATGATCTTTTAGCAATTGTCGACTAACTTCTCCAGTAAGCTAGTATATTTACGGTTTTCGCGTAGCTTATTTTTTATATACAAGATGCTACTACTACATGCTTTCCCATAAAAAGCACAGTCCATGGATCAGCTACCTAAACTGATACTACATTGTATTGCTGTTTTGCAATTTTTATTTGCTCTATACCTTTCAAGTAAACACTCAAAAAAGTATGAACCAAAGTAACCAAAATGCAGCAGAAAGCGAAAAGTAACGTAAATATCGGGGTTTCCGCGTGTTATAAAGAAAACCTTCAATCTAACGTACGTAAGGATAATTTTGGTTTAATCCTTCTCAGATAAGGATTGGTTCCACCACGACAGCCGGCAGTTGTCTGTTTCTTTTGCGTAGCGTCCTCAGAATTAGTTTTTATAAAATTTTAGCATAGCCAGAATCACTCGCACTGGCGAATCCAACACACCTCATAAGTCAGAATCCATCAAGCTGTTTGGCCTGTAGATTTTTTGTCTATATACAGACCCCTGTGCGAAAAACATAACCCTCGTTCTGAGGCAGTCGTGTAAAGATTATCTCAGCTTCACATCTGTTCTTTGCAATGCGTTAATTTCTTGGAAAAGTAAATCGATTTCAAAACGCAGATACAAATATAATTTTAATATCACTAACAGTAGCTGAAATAACCCAGAGTACACCAGTCGCCGAGTATTCGGGTTGGGTTCCCCGCACTCGGTATTCGAATTTGACCGAGTACCCGGTACTAGAAAAAATTGGTACTGGGTGCATCACTACTTAAAATGATCGGATATATTACACGAATGTGTTGCTCTTTTTGAAAACGTCAATTTAAACTTTTCCAGACCAGTATGCCAAAGAAGAGCTGGGGCAACGTTTTGAGACTGACGTCAAATCTTCGCGACATACTTGTGGATATTTATCCAGAATTTTACCAGAAATGTTCAGTCTTTGTTGGAGATGGGTGGATGTTGAAAGCTGATCCCCTAGAAACTTGTGATATGGTCAAAATCAAGTACGAGATAGAGTGGCCTTTGAATATTGTGATAGATTCGAAACAGATGGAGCTTTACAAGCAGGTGTTTCAGTTCATACTGAAGCTTAAGTGGGGGCTGTACACCGTCAATCATTTAATGTTTACTGGTAAAGTGGAATCTATTTATCTTAAAAAAATTGCATCACGAGAAACCATCCAAGTTATGCATGTATACCGGACTTTAATCCCACGACTTAATTCTGTATGCTTAAATTTGTTGGATCATATCGATCGACGGATATCCATAATATGTATATCTGCATTTCGGCTGTATTGGCTTAATTTGCTGAATCGGCCCATACAAATTACACGGTTAATGTCTAAAACTTTTAACTCAACACCTACTTGGAAATATATCTTATAAATTATATCAAAGTAACCTCTTTTGCTTTCCATATAGGACACAAATAGCATTATCGAGAATGTCAGACTTTTGACTGCAAAGGACCAGGGCATATAAGCGGAGCTCTTGGCCCGAAAAATACCTCAAATTTACAGCCAACCATGTAATTTTTGCTTTTAAATATTTTAGAACACATTTATTTTAAACGTTCTTCAACAGTTTCCTTTTTATTTTAATAATGTACTCTTTTTTAAAAGGTCATAGTGCAATTTTAGCATGTTTGTTCAAACTTCACCCGAGTTCTAATTAGTTAAGCACCAACGACACTCGACCCTACGTCATCGCGGAGTTGATAAAAATAGTATCAAAGTGAGACTGGTTGTAGGGGAAAATACAGGACAGCAATTATTGAAAAATTGTGAAATGGAACTTTAGTAAAAATTACATTGGACTGTTGCAAACTTTTGTCGGAGGGGCGCAAAATGGTTGTTTATAACAAGAGCGCATACGTCATAAGGAATGTTAACGATTATTTTTTAAAACGATCGGACTCCAAAAAATAATTCAATTTCGGAGAACAACGTTATCAATCAACTTTAACCTACATTTTGCGTCAAGAGAATATTAGTTCCAATTATTTTGCGATCAAACGCTAACGGTTTTCAACACAAGTAAAATAGTTGCTATATTACTTATACACATAATTATTCGATTTTTTCTGCTATTCCTTTCCAATATTGCTCCATCGAAAACGTCCGGGATTATCTACTTCATTGAATTTGCCATTTCTCGCCACATAATTCGGTATCTAAGAGTTGGAAAGGAAACACATTTCATAGTAAAATGAGACGTGAAAGAAATCTTAATTAATAGTTACTTTTTTGTTAACCATTTGCAGATTACAGAGTGAAGGCTGTAACATGATATTCAACAAGATTTATATATCGTGATAAAAAAGGATTGTCTTAAAGATGAAACTTACTACAAAACCTTAAATTACACATCTGTTTAAGTAAGAAACTGATTGTAACGTTAAATGTAAAAAGCCCATATAAGTTTTATTAACATTCCTCATGACGTATTTTTTATAAATCTTACAATATTTAATTGAGGAACTCTTATCAGCATTCACCATCGCATGGATTCGAGTAAACAATTTACTAAGAACTCATATGTTTGAAGCAAAAACAAATTTGTTTATACTTTTCCTTGTCTCCACCTTTGAGATGGTGAGCAAACAAGTTCAGAGACTCGGTGTTAAAATTTTCACGGAATCCCTTCCAAACGTATGCCAAACAGTATTCACTAATATTTATTTTTGAGAATGCAGCAGCATACACTTCATTCAAATACTTTTTCCAACAGTATAGAAAACGTTCTTTTCAGAGGAATGAATATCAATATACGAATTATTCAGTAAGCTCCAATGTCACTCCCCTACGACATAGCCGATTCGGATAAAAATGGTATCAATGTAGGGTTGGTAATGGAAGAAATTCAGAACACCAATGCCGGGCGGACACATTTTGTTAACGTATTATTATATAATTTTGGTAACAGTGATAATCTGCATTGCTAGTGCAGAGTTATCATGGATACAATTTCTTCTAGGTCAGTTGTGGAGGAAGCACATGGTCGCAACACTTTCTACTTCAAATCTATAATGAAACACACTGAGACACAGAATATTTATATGAAAATCAAAGTGTGGTGCACTGCGCTTACATTAAAACAAAGGTCTCATTGTAATTGCGTATAGATCTGTTTATATTTTTAATGTGAGCACAGTGATGCAACACTTTCATTTTTGTATGTATTTTGTGTCCCAGAGTTTAATAAAAATACTAAATTAAATACTGGAAAATGTGCAAATTTTTGATAAAAATGTCAAAACTATGAAATTTTGGCACGTACAAAAAAAATTAAGTACCCAATGTTTTTTAAAAATATTCATGACAACTTAAAATACGTATGTTCTAAAATATGTAAATGCAAAAAATTCATCGATCAATTTGAAATTTGAGTTAATTTCAGCGCCTCTTATAGGCCCTGTTGAAATATATTTTCCGCATTTATGGTACTTTAATTCAGAATTGAAACTTCTGTAACCAAAATTGGTCAAGTAAGGTACGATAGATATTGAAGAAACCGAAGTCATTAAAAACGTGAAACTGAAGGTGCTTGCTATAGGTAGATAATAGAAAAAAGGGACGCTCGATGGGCTGATAACAACGACATATCAGTATCGGCCTACTATTGGCGAAAATCCTATATCGGTCGATCGCTTAATATCGATAGTTGGTTTAAGGGTATAAAAGTTGCAACACTCAAACTATTTGGACATTTTCAATGCCCTGGATATTTTAGTACGTAATCACATATGATAATTATTGGAGGAATCAGAAAAAATACTCTCAGATTTAGTTCTTTTAATGTTAGATTGTAGTCAATAATATTTTTGTGTGCTATCAAAAAGTTTGAGATTCTGCTTTCACTTTTGTGCTCATACCTGTTTGTATTCTAGATATTTTCAAGAATATACATTTTACAATTTACATTATAGGAATACTTGAAGAATATACAATCTTTATATAATGTACATTATTCACATTGGAACGAGGGAGATACCAAAACCAAGATTATCTGGTTGCATTTTTTCAATTCTACCTCAGTTCAAAGTAATTTTCAGAAGTTTCTAACGATTTCACTTTGATTGTAGATATAGAGCCAAAGAAGAGACACAAATGGAAAAGTAGCACTACAGTTGCATGTAAATTGAAATATCTGAGGTTCTGTCTAACAAACATCTTGAACAGCATCCAGCACTACGTATTTTCTTTTATATTACTCAAAAACCTCCAAACATTTGAGCTGGAATTCACAAAAGCATCTGACTTCTTAACCATTGTATCATCTCATGCTGACTTTGTGAATGAAACTTATAGCATGATCATGGAAATCAATGATTCTGGAACAGCGTTTAGTGATGTAAGTAGTAATTTCTTTATGATCTTACGTGGTTCGATAACATAGTTTCAATACATTCAAGGGTAACAATAAAACTTTTCGAGAATATTTCGTAATGTTTTTCATTGGATTGACAATTCTTATTACTATTTACAGTAGCGGACAAAAGTTTGGAAACATTCTTAGTAATTTTTAAAAAGTGCTCTAATGTTTTATTTTTTATTAAGGACTATTTTTATTCTCATATAGTTTGCTTACAGTCTTGACTATACAAATGACAATTTGTGTTTGCTGTGGTACTACAGACTAGCATTAAAATGCCTGCATATTGTTTTATGACCAAAAATGAGACGACAAAGGTATGGAAACAAATTTTTTTTACAAAATTAAATACAATAACACTACAAAAATATTTTAAAAAAATACTGTTCAGCAAATATTTGGTAGCATAGCCTTTAGCATTCAACACTGTCTGACATCTGCTGCTCATAGAAGACACCAATTTTTTACAGACATCTGTTGGGATATTTAGCCAAATATCTTTTTACATAATCAAATAAATCGTTCCTATTTTTTTTAGTTTTTCTTGTCAGTTATCTTTCAACATGCTCCCAGAGATGTTCTATAGGGTTTAGGTCCGCGGATTGTAAAGGCCATGCAAGAACATTAACATTTTTTAGTTTCAATCAGTCCTTTACGAATTTTAAGGTATGCTTGTGGTCATTATCTTGCTGGAATGTTCATTGTAAAAGCATTTCTTCTTATCTTTGTAAAGTTTTTGATCCATTTTCCCAACAATTTTAACAATTGGACCCGTTCCAGAACTAGAAAAACAGTCCCAAACCATGTTGTTGCCTCCACCATACTCAACTGATACTTTTTGTCGAATATTTTTCGTATGAGGCCTCGCATATGCCGTACCGTCAGATCCAAAGTTAAATTTGCTTTCATCGCTCCATAAAACTGTATACCATTGTTGTTCTGTCCAAATTAGATGAGTTTTAGCAGACTCATGCCGAGCAATACCATTTTTTTAATGAGAGGCTTACCAAAAAGCCCAGAATCCACCAAGTGTCTCTGCACTGTTCTGACAGAAAGATCCTCGGCACCCTCTTCTACGATTCGTTTGAAAATCTGTGTGGCTGGCCTTCGAAGATCTTCATGGGACAAACGTTTAATGTAGCGATCCAAAATGTAATCGGTTTTTTTTCAGCCTTCCGCATCTAGGCCGCGTTGCTGTTGATCCGTAATCTTGATATTTACTAATAATTTTTGAAATCGTCCCTGTGTTCATTTTTAATATTTGAGAAATGTCAACATCACTTCTAAATAATTCAATTACCTTGTCTCTTAAATCTTTTGAAAATTCCTTTACTTTTGCCATTCTCACTGATGTTAATATTTACCGGTCGCAATATCAGGGTATTGCAGAACGAATAAATACGGCAAAACTAAAGTGTTTCCATACTTTTGTCGTTATAAAAACAGTGGTATTTGAAAAAAACGCGTAGACTTTAATATTTGTATTATCTGTTCCTTCATAATTTTAATTTAGTTATATGAAATAATTCATAATAATGTTAATATTTGTTTCCAAACTTTTGTCCGCTACTGTATATTCACTTGTGGATTTTAAGGGCACAAAAAATGTATCCCTCACACTTATAGTTGATTCCCGAGATGATGATTGATGATTACATGATGATTTGAAGCCGACTTTTCAATCTCGAAGACATCCCAGATATCTTATGATGTGCATATTCCAAATTCTAAAAACAGCTAAATAAATTTCTAGACGGTCTTTTAAATGCCAAAAAATCATTTATTTCAACAATTTAAGTGATCTCTGATGTCTTAAGCATCCACCACAATTATAGTCAACGCCAAACAAAGTGGCGTGCACGTCATCAAGGTGGGTGTGTTGAGAAATTTACATTGTTGCCAAACTTTTTGTAAAATAATAAAATTTATTATTTACATATCTAGGTTTATAAGCAATATTAACCTCAAATGAGAACAAAAATAATAGTATAATAAAATTATAGATCTGTACTTGCATAATCATTAAGTATGACAATTATTGATCAGATGACACTATGAAACTACCATATTTAATTGATAGCTTAAAGGTACTGAATAAAAATCCAAATGGGGTCCTCCAAATTTTATGCATGGTATTTATTTTACAGAATTCATACAGAAAAATGCATTCTAAAATTAGGTAAGCTACTGGTGTAAGCTTTTTCTGTACAATAAAGTTAGTCGGAGTTTCTTTCTTCAGCGCTGTCTGAATCTGAATCTTCATCACTCTCAAAGTTGATTATTAAAGGTTCGATGTCTGGTCGATCAAAAATTCGTTCTCTTTCATACCATTTAAAAATTTCTTTCTCAGTATGTCGAACACTATTTTTCCACATGTCTGGGGTAACCGTTTGTAGAGCCTCGTTCCACATATCCAAACAGTCTTTTTCACTGTTACCATCTCTACCAATATGTCTGTTATAGTAACCTTTTGCTATGCCCCAAATTAACTCAATAGGGTTAAATATACAATGGTAAGGAGGCAGACGAAGAACTTTGTGCCCATGTTGTTCCGCCAATTCATCAATCACGTATATTTTAGGTGGTTTGTTTCTAAAAAAGCAGTTATTTTAAGAATAGGAATAAACAAAAGAAATATAAACTGTCGACCAAAATATATATAATTAAGAAGCATTATGTACCGAGCAACAATACTCAATAGCTCTGTTTTAAACATTGTGTTTAAAAATGGTATGTTTTGATTTGTCAACCAGTCTTGGATATTTTTTTTTGTCCATGCATTGTTGGGCACTTTGTTCAATATCATGCTGTGATAAGGGGCGTTATCCAGTATAATCATAGATGGACTCTCCAATTTTTCTAATAACTGATGTTGAAACCATTTCAAAAAATTGTCCTGGTTCATCTCTCCATGGTAATCGCTCAATTTTGTTTTCGAAGAAAATATCGCTTCACTACCCTCAATAAACCCATTTTCATTTCCAGCATGTAATATAATGTATCTAAAATATATTAGTTTTAAATTTTATAGTGCAAATTGTGTAAAAGTACATATACCTTTTACCATCTGTTTTAATAGCTTTCACGCTTTTTTGGTTTCCCTTTTGCCAAGAGCGACCTATGGTCCCATTTTGAAATATCCAAGTTTCATCGAGGAAGACAAACTGGTATAAGGCCTCAACCTTGGCGTGATTGTATTGCCTTAGAAATTACACCCTTTTCAAAGCTATACTTGATAGTTCCATGAGCCCTCGTCGCGGATTGTCCTTAAGCCACTTAAATCCAAGATCTCTAAGCAACCGCCTTAAAGACGTGGCACTACCATCAAATAATGCCCTATCTCTTAATCGAGACCATAAAGTTTGTATCGTAACTTGTTCTTCTGAAACCATGTGTAATATGACATTATAATTTAGTTAACAAATTAATGCAAATTTCTGATAAGTTATTATAATATGATCTTACTTTTGTGATACATATTATAGATCACTTCTCGAATGGCACTTGTATCCAATGTCGCTGTGTTGGTTACACGTTTAATATAACTCTGCTTTTTCTTGGGCGATTCTAAATTTTCATCACTTTTCACACCCTCGGAAATACGACTAACTGTCCTTCCCAGTTTAAATAAGTTTCAAGGTGACAATGTGTCAACGCTGCGAAATCGGTTTAGTGCGTTTACATGTCGATAAGTGATTGGAGCGTTTGCAAAACATTTTATTTCGCATAATGCGTCTAAATTTATCAGAAAGCAACTTATGTGATATTTTAATAACAATGTTTATATGACTGTTAACCATAATAAGAGAGTAATGACCATTTTACAATTTATATATCACATTAATATGAAACTGCAATAGAGCAATTGTTTGTGATAGAAACCTAGGCATTAGGTCGGGGAATTTTTATCGTGATGACGTGCACGCCACTTTGTATGGCGTTGACTACAGCTTCTTTATTTTGTAGTTGTTGGAAAATGAAGACTGTTTCATGATTTTAAAATTTTATTTATTTCAGCTTCTGTTATGTATAAGGTACCTGAAATCTATGTGGACAAATCCAAGTCAGATTACGTTAGAAAAGCTCAGCGACGCGGATAGGCTGTACACTAGCTCATATAATTCCATAAACCCCATAATTTCTCCTGTTTATCTATAGTCTATAATATTGGTGTCTAGAAAATATTTTCTGAATGTTCCCTAATTATTTATTTTTATATGTTTTTTTTCTAATAAACAATTGTTTTCTAGAATTATCAGCTTTCTGTTATAACTGATAAAATCTGGATAACCAAATTAAGTGGCAGATTTATCATTCACAAAGGTGAGACAAATATTACTTGTTGTGAACTGTTAAATAACGGCTAGCCTAAATACTCTGATAAGAGTAACTCTATGAACAAAATATGCTGGTATCGCAAGGTCATGCGTGTGGTTCAAAAAACACCCACTAAAATATAAATTGCTACCCCAGTAAAGCTGGTATGAACTTAAACATTGGCGAACTAAAATAAATTCCTTACACTCCAAAAGAGTCACTTGCAGTCTTGGGGACACTATTTATCGGAACTGTAACATTTTACGATACTTTTATGGTGTCCGCCTTTTCTAAATTTCAAGGTAGAATGGCATTCCCCCTATTCCATATAGCTTTTCACGAACTGCTGTTCACAGTAACCTGACTCTACTGCCAATCGAAAAAGCAAGCATCTCTTCTGTTCTTTGCAATCGAGTCGGTCTATTCCAAAATAGCAACAATGTGGCACGTGGGAAATCTATGTATAGGTGAGGTTGAAAGCACAGTTTACAAAAAAAATAAACTCAAGACAGCCTGACGCCTTTAGAAAGTAGCTCTCGTGTCCGTGAAAAACAATGGCGTGTACTTGTATGCATAAAGAATCGGATTTAGAAGTTTCATATTTCTTGAAGATTCTCGCATCTTTGGTATGCAAAAATCATAAAGTCATAAAAACTGTATCTAAAAATTGCAAAAGGCTGCTGGCACTTTTTGGACTACGAGTATGAGAGTTATAAATTAGATTTCATACTACACTCTGAGATAACTTATCCAAATCCAGTTTACACATATCAGGTTTCCCTAGCAGGAAGTTATTGACAAAGTCAATTTCAAAATCGCCAGAGTTCGTGATATTTGAAAAATGAAACGTATATAGTATTTGGAGAGCATATGGCTTATTCTCAGACGTTAATTTTGATGTGAATGTCGCATCTTCGAACAAGAATTGTAAAGTTTAAGGAGGCAAAAGCGTAAGTCTCTTTTGCATGGAAATATAGACATGGGCCATACATGTTCTGACCTTAATACTTCTAGACTATGGCTCAGACGCACCTTTTACCTCATAGGAAAGCAAAGCCCGGTTTGACTCCAGACTTTGTAGCCATCAATATATGATGACCATCTCAGACTATAAGCTCACATGCAGATTTCTGAACCTGATACTTTTTAGGTTCCTTATTATTAAACTCGTAAACTCGCCACATTTTCATTAGTTTCTGCACCCATTTCATAAACATATTAATTCTCCGATTTAACCGGACTCCATAACTGCACAGTTCATTAAACGCATATGTAATCGATGCCCAATTATCCCCGTTCTAGGAAACGGACTGAATGAACGAATGAAGTTTTATTTTGACCGATGTCTACGTAGTTGAGCATATAACCAGCGTGAAATAAGCCATTTGCGTTCGTTAGAGATGCGTCATCAGTGGAGCAGTGGCATGGCATTTTTATTCTGATTTAATCATCAATTTTATTTTTTCATATATTTCATAGATGCCATTACAGCTTATTTCGGAATCTCTTTTCGTATAATATCAGGAAAAAATGGACTATTCGGCTATGCTACGTGCTATTCTACAAATTGAGATCTACATTATTCTATGAAAAAATTTCGTCTAGTAGGTTGGCTCTGCACTTTCCAGGCACTGCTTTCATCAATGCATAAATGATTAGGTCCACCAGAGGTTAGTTCTCCTGAAAAAAAGTTAGCTGAGGACATGTCTAACAGATAATTAAATGGATCAAATCAGTCAAACAGTGTCCCCTACAATCAGTCCACAGTTCTTTTCCACATGGCAGCGTTGCGATCTTAAAATTTCGCCCCTGCCCTACCAGCAGTACCGATCATCTGGCAACGTTGCTATTGTTAAACCTCACCAGCCAGCTCGAAAACTGCCCAAACACATCTTACGTTTGCTGCAAAAAGTGTATCTGAAAAGGCAAAAAACAAAGTTAGAATTTCTTTTATTTTTCCCGTAGCTCCGCCACTGCTAGATCGATTTTTAAAAGCTTTTTCGTCCTTGGCATACTAGTAGTCTCAAAACTTCATCAAAATCTACTACCTTCCAAGTTATAGAGGGTCCAAGGATTAGCAAACGGACAGACAAGACAGACCGACGGATTATAGTGACATGGTTGTTCGTGATGTATGATATGTAACGTCTGAAAACATGTCTCATTTTTAAAATTTTTCGCGATTGCAATACTTCCCCTCCAATCGGCGTGGGAAAGAATAGCTGATGGTCATTTCCCGCAAGGATTCAGCAGGATTCTTTCCAACGGATTCTACCACTATTTGTTAGAGTCCCGTCAAAGTGCGGGTGCAGGGGAGGATGGAAAGAAGATAAAATGCTGGCATTTTCAGGAAAAATATACAGGTACTCTCCAGTATACAGCTCGCAGTAGTAATAAAGTACGTGCTTGTAAGATTAAATGGAGAGTTGTATACTTTCGCTTTTTGTTTTTATGGCTTTATTGCGCTACATTACAGTGGCTGAAAGTACCTTGGGGAATACGAAACTGTTGAAAATTTAAATATATAGGCAAAAATGTGGCATATGGGATAGATAGAATATGATCTTATAATGGTGGTGCGGAGTGTTGGTATTCGTTAGCTTAATGAAGTGATTGAAAGTGTACAGAGTATTTCAAGGATAATACCTTCAAACATTAAAATGCTTCCTACGAATCATCCTCATCATCATCTGAATGACATAAACACTGGATAATATATAATGTCGATAATTCCGAACTCAAAATGAGCGTACACTTTTTGGATGCTATAAGTCATAAAGGTAAATCGCTAAAAGTAATGCCACTCATCCAATCATCCATAAAACCCCTAGGAAATGAGACTACTGCTCAAGACAACTATTTCACTTTTTTCTATAGTGACAAATAATGTAAAATAGGAGAATCGGAAAGAGTATAATGTCAAATCAATATTTATTTTGAAGCTTTTCAGAAAACATACTTTTCAGGACATACTCCCACTAACCTGGTGAAAACTACAAACTTCTCGTGAACTGGATTAGCAATATGATCTCACGCTAACAAATAAACAGTTATTCCTTTATTTACTGGATAAATGAAACGAATAAATAAAAAGACCAATTTGATAAATCAGTCGGTTTAACTTGAAACTACAGTTGTGATAAGAATGTCATGAAATTAATGATGGATGCTATCGTAAAACTAGAACGTATTCGTGAAAATGTTTTCAAAATTACTCTAATGAGTTTTGCAGGGTGAGGCAGAGAGGACGGACGTTTTTGGGATTGGTAGTACTCTCCGCCTCCGTCTACGAGAGAGGTGGGGAGGGTGCCGTTTGACTAGTGAGATCCTATTATTCTACCAGTTGTCGTTATGGAGCCTTGGACGGTGGAGCACCGCGTTTTCGCCTATGAGTGACGAAGCCCACTTTCACCTAAACAGCATGGTTAACCAGCAGAGTTGTCGTTATTGGGCTAATGAAAATCCGCAACAGTTACAGGATGGGGCTACCGCCCACACAGCCCGAGCATCCACGGACGTTATTCGCCCTCTCTTCCCTGGTCGCCTTATTTCCAGGTTTGGAGATGTTCATTGGCCTCTTCGATCCCCAGATTTATCCATATGCGATTTTTTCTTATGGGGACACCTCAAGGCTAGAGTATACGCGAACAAGCCCCGAACTCTGGACGAATTGAAGGGGGAAATTCGCGTGGAAGTCGCCCAAGTTGAGAGAGCGATGTTGGAGAGAGTCTACGCGAACTTCCAAGAACGCCTCCAGCACTGCATCAATGATTTCGGCCACCACATACCTGATGTGATTTTCCACACTTGACTGTGTGATTCCATCAATAAATTCGTTTTTGAGTAAAAACTAACTATTTTATGATTTTTTAAAACCGTCCATCCTCTCTGCCGCACCCTGTATATCAGTATCAAATAATTTTGATTAAAAAACAATATAGCCCAACTAGTCTTCTTGTGTAAGGCGTTAGAAATGTGTAATCAAAAACACTAAAGAAACTACTCGTAGTAGCGTATTTACCATAAAACTTATTATTATTATTATTTTCTTGAGAGTTATTATTATAGCTTTAACGTCGACCGCCGATGTCAACAAGGCAAGGGACTGCATTGACTTCGACCGATGTAATTGTGCGTAGAGGGAATTTGTCATAGCATGGCACTATCTGTGACTTTTTAATAATTGACCTTATAAGGAGAATGGCCATGATTGATTATTTGCTCATTCGTGATGATGAAAAAGAAATATGGTAGCTATTACTGGTCGTTGACCGCACCGAAACTATGAAATCTTATGCCTCTATATATAAAACGACCAAGGAATATCTTCGACGAAGTTTCCGAGCCGATAAGCAGCAGTTAATTTTGAGCACAAAAAACGAATAATGCCTTTGATGATGACTTTTTTAAATTTTAACTACCTACTCAATTTGTGCAATATGGAGTAATGCACAGTAGTCTTTTTGGAGCCAGGCCTTATTTCGGTCCTGCTTTCTTACCATATGTGCTGAATGTTAGCAAATCAAGGAAACTATCGTACCAATTTTGCGGCTTTACAGCAATGCTTTTATTTTCAGTTTAAAGGAAGGTAATGGATTTCTTCCTAGTTTTAATGGACCATTAAAGCGAACTCGAGTTTAGTTGTTTGTATGGGACATTAGAGTGGTTCAAATTTATACTACTGTTTGTTCTGAAGAAAAGCTCTTGCACTTAACTACGAGTACTATACAGGGATACCAACACGTTCAATTCCTTCCTTGCTTATTTGTAAATGTAAATAAGTTTTTCAATAAGGATGGGTCGATGCTGGAGTGAAATAAAACATACCGTGTTTAATGTAGAAATTTGTCATTGTTTGTAAGATCGATGTATGCCATTTTGTAGTGAATATGACACCGCCACCGTTAAAAGAGGTTTGTTCGTAAAGTA